CTATGACTTTCACTATCAAAGGGAGCTTCAAGGTGCTGCAGGCACTCACTGCACAAGTGACGACTCCTGGCAACGGCTGCTGAAATTCCTGCTAGAAACATCCGCAGGCTCATTATTACATGTGAAGGAAGCTTGTGAGCTGCCAATTTCTAGTTAAACCTTTGCCCTCACTTGGCTTCTTTACCACCATGTGCCAGATGTTCAGGGAAGTGAGTTCCAGCAAGCAAGATTGCTCCTTCTGATTCACTAATGATGGGCAAAAAACCACCCTGGAGTCAGCGTCAGCATCAGGATGCGATGGCTGGTTTGCATAATTAGCACTTATAAACTCTTCCGTTTGTTTCAGGAAGCATCTACTCTCCATACAATAGAGAAACTTTCAGCTTTTGACCATTATTTTAGTAGAGAAGAGCAGTATATGGCCAAACTACCCTCCCCTTATAATTCCCTTGGTACTTTGGGTATCCAGGCAGACCCTCAGTCACTGAGAGACCCAGGGTGATAGCAGTGAGAAGCAGGGTGGATCACATTATATATGGGTAATGCCTCTTGGCAAAAAGAACAGTCCAGGAGAGAACGTATCTGTTCTGAGTGACTGCACATGAATAATTCACGTCTGGGGATGCATTAGGAGCAGCACTTTCACCAGAGGAGGGATGCTTGGAAGTGCAGCAGGCTCTTACATCAGTGATTGCAAGTCAGTGCTGCCAGACCAGTCACCACAGACACACGAACAACCCACATCTGTGACCCTTCTGCAGTAATCATGGGTTCATGCAACTGCAGGCTGTGGGACTCCAACCCACTTCCTTTCCACTTATATATTGACATATTAGTCAGCATGGTGCAATACTCCCCCTCTGCCAACCATGTCATCTTACCCCATTCCACAGTTCTTTCCCTGCTTTTTTGCAACAAGTATAATTATCTTCTCCTTCAGTTTATTCTAATACTTGTCAAATGACTGAAATCAGATTACCAGGATTTTAGTTGCTCAGATTCACCCATCTTTCCCCTTCTTAAAGACAGCTCTATACTCCACAATGATATAGTACTGTGCCCTAACTTGTAGCAAGACTTGCAATTTTTAGTGCCAGCTCACCCAGAACTCTATGACGGAGACTACCTTTATTTTGCTACTGATGTTGGATATTTAGCCAAACTGGTCCTTTTTCTAGATTAATCTTTTCTCTCAAGCTTTTATTTGCTTCCAGATATTTCTGGTTTAGTGTGAAATAAAAAACGAGCTTCTTTTTTTTTTTTTTTTTTTTTTTTTTGTTTATATTCTAACTGCTCCTCTTTCAGGACATAGCAGCTCCCAGGGCACTGAGGCATCATGCAAATCTCCAGGAGGCTGTTGCACCAGACTGCATGTAACACACCAAATCCTCTGCCTCACTGTTCTGCTGCTGCTTCTGCATCACACTGATTCTTTTTCCTTATAACATCTCCTGAAAATCTTTCTCTCTACAAAGCACTTACCCCTTTCGCGGTATGCAAATGCTGCCAGAAGACTAACATAACACAGAGCAAATCCTTCTCAGCTGCAGGGAGAATAAACTTAATCTGATCACTGACCCCAGCAATAAATAGCCATTCACTTTCATTTACTCTCTCAGATAAAGTCCCTTTGATCTCGCTTACTCAAGAGAGGACTAAGCAAAGATCTTAGTACCTGGCCCAGAATCTCCGGTCAGGCAGGTCCAAGCGGCTCAAGGCCTGGTGTCTGAAATCTCATACCCAGCCTGTGACTGTACCATGAATGCATGCAGTTGCCATCAGCATTCAGGGGCAAATGAAATATCAGAGGGGAGAGTTCAGACCATTTTATTTGAGAAATGTGTCCACTTCCACAGCAGTCATGTTCTTTAGCAGGATGCTTCCATCTCCCCTATCTTTGTCCTGAGGTCAGACTCCTGACTGTAACCACTGGTTTGCAGTGGGGAGGAAGTTTTGCAGAGGGACAGGCCTACGTCAGAAAAGGAATAAGCAACAGTGGCATACAGAGTTGCCAGGTCAAGCAAGTGCCTCTAGATGAATCCAGGAAAAGAAGAAACTCCCTTTTCTCTGGAAAATGAGCTTAGAGAGAAATAGAAATGCCCCATAGAGAGCACTGGGCAGGCATTTATCATTTTAAACTTACTACACACTGATAAAATACTAACACTCACTACTAGAACAAACAGACGCCTACATCTTATTCCCAGGGCACTGTTAGTTGTCCATCAGGTCATTTCTTCTAGCTAAGAGACAGCTCTTTTTGCATTGGTTTCCACAAAAAAGGCAGCTGTGCTAGCCACCTGCTTGCAGCTAAAGCCAGTGACAGCAAGATCCCAGCCTCAAATAGAGAGAGATCAGACTAGAGAGAATAAGACAGATGTTTTCCAGTCACCTGGACTGCATCCCAAAGCATTCAGTGAACTGGCTCAGCTGCCTCAAAACTCAGCTATGATTCCCTTTGGGAATTTGTGTAGAACAGGTAGGGTGTCATAGGATTGAAAAATGGACAAAAGCAGTACCTAGACTTAAGAAGGTAAGAAAAGGGAAGAAAGTTGATTTATGATTTCAATTCTCAGAATAGCAGGATTAATTATTTACAAGCACATGAAAAAAAAACCAATCCCAAACCCACAAAGATTGAGTAGCAGCCCAGGTGGATTTGTCAAGAACAAATCATAACTGAAAAAAATAAAGTATTTCTTTATACAGGGAAAACAGTATTATAGGAGAGAAGCAAGACATGGACTGGAATTCAGTAAGGTTTCTGACATATCAGTTTCACAAACATGCCAAAAAATGTTATAAATGATACCACATATAATATTACAACTTCAGAAGTGGAAAAAAAAAACCAACAAAAAAACCAAAAAACAAACAAAAAAAAAACCCTATCTAGGAGGAGTTCCCAGTGGGTTCACTGTAGAAATGGAAGGATGTTCTTACTTTGGGATCTGCCTAGGAACCAGCTTTGTTTAGTTTTCATTATCAACCTGGAGGGTGAAATAAAAAGTGTGTTTATTAAACTGCAGAGGACATGAATCTGGAAAGAATGGCAGGTATGCTGGAAAGCTCTGCCAAAGGAACTTGGCAAATTGAAGGAGTGTTTTGGAAGAAAGAATCGGTAGCGACAAGAGCATGGTGCTGCTCTTTGGCAGGAAGCATGAACAGCACAAGCACAGGGGGCAGAGCTGGGAAGGATAATGCTTTTCAGTTCTTCCTGAGACCTGGAGTCTCAAGGAACTGGACACTCACCTTCAGTCCTATGCCACTGTGGAAAACACAGTCAAAACAGCGGATGTATAAAGAATGAGAACTGCAAGGCTAGTGAAATAGTTGTTTGCTCCTCTTTAATTGCTGTACTCTGGACATTTTGGGGCACTACTCTAAAAAAAGGATGAATCAACTGCAGGCATTCAAAAGAGCAACAGGAATTGAGATCTGGAAAACATTACCTACAAGAACTGAAAATAATGGAGTGCTTATTCTAAAGAAATGGAGGATAATGAGGCCAACCACAAAACCACTGAAGTAACATGCAGTTGCAAGACGCTCAAGTTCTTGCTGCTTTCTGGCAAGCTGGGCACTGAAGCACACAGTTAAGACTACTGCATTTTCTCTCCCCAGTCTTCTAGCAAGTTTTAACAAAGTATTCACTGCATTTTTCCAAGAGCAGGGGATACCACATCAGAATCCAGTGACGACAGCATGACTGCAAGCATCAGGTGGAAATTCAATCTGTTTTGAAGTAAACCAATCCATCCTTAGAACTTCACACTACACACTAGGAGTCCCTTCAACTGCCTTCTGGTTGCAGGGCGATGACACTGCCAGGGCTTTCCCTTGCCCAGAAAGAACAACAAGAGCATGACATAAACCAAAGAAAACTACTTTTGACTCAATTATTCATGTTACGAAAGCCCGCTTGTGCTTGCCCAGGGCCTGACAGGTAACTTCATCTGTCTGGTACCAGGAAAATAATTGCAAGTTGGTGCCAGTGTGAGACAAGAGCAAAGTATGAGCCCTTAAGGCCATCTATGTAACAACCGACTACAATATATTCCCAGACTTTCATTCTGTATATGGTGAGCTGCCAACCTCCTCTCTCTGTCTCTAAATACAGGATATAACATTCCATCCTCTGAACATTAATCCATTTGTCTGGTTATGTGTTGAAAAATGATTAAAGAAGACTTGAAAACAGATATATAGGATTTGTAAAACAAGTATACCCAAATAGAGGTCATTTATTCTGGATTTCATGACAAGAGATAAAGACAAACCATCAACTGAATGAGAAGTCACAATCTGATTCCATTTAGGATGGGTGAACTGAGAACAACCCTGACTAGTAACAGGTCCATGGTACTTCAGAAGGGCACTAATGCAATGGACTGGGACAAAATATTTACATGGGAAAAGCAGAGGATTTACCATTTCAGTGTGTTAAGACTAGACTTGATACTATTCTTCTGTGATACTTCAGCCAAACACAAATCATGAATCTCAGTGCAACAATAACTGAGCAAAATATGACGGCTTGTGCCATTTAGGAGGTCACATGAAGTCTGGATTATGGCCTTTTCAACAAGTTGTGCGGGCTCCTGTGCCGTCACATCCTTATCCCCAAAATCCCATTGCTTCCCCTTGCCACTGCTGTTTTCCTTCCTCTGCTCTTAAATCCGGAGTCCATATACCACACAAAAAACAGTCCTTTCATATACTCTTTAAAATAAAAAAAAATTAAATTGTACACACTAACATAATCTTGAATAGAAAGCCTCATCTGTGATGCAAGGCCAGCTTACAGACAGATGTCTTTGTAAAACATATTTAATTAAAGCTGAAATCCACGGAGGTAAAAAAAGCCATCACTTAAGTGCAGCAGGACACACACAGGAAGTCTCCTCAGATCAAAACATGGCAAATATGACTGTGATATAATGTCTGCCCACCATTTCTAATTAGGTGACCTTCACAATGTCAGCTGACAATGTTCTTACCACTTTCTCCTTGTAAACAATGTATTTCAGCCACTTGAAATCCTGCCATTTGAATCCTGCCAGAACAAACAGGGAATCCTTCTCATACTGCTCCATTTTCTGGATTGCACCTTCGGGATATGTGATCCGGAGCGTTGTCTTGCCACCCACATCTTTTTCAAAGCCCTTCACTGGCGCAGAGTTCAGCCTGCAAGGCAACCAGAGAAGACACTGCCATGGATTCCCACTTACACTCACGTATGTTAATGATACAGCAATGACTGCTGGGCAAGAGCTCCCTGTACACAGCTGTTAGAGCAGCAAACATTAACTCTTGTAGTTCTTCATCACAAATATTTGTGAAGCTTTATACCAAGTCACAACAGTTTAATTAGAAGCTATTTAAATTATTTCATTGAATGTAATGCAAACCATTTCTGCACATCCACTTGAAGCTTTGGAAAAGGAAACGGAAAAATACTATCCTTGCAAATTTAGAGTTACAAACTAAGCATTAATATTTTGTCATCGCTCTGGTGCATGGGGTTATCCCTCTCTAGGTGCACTTGCCTTTGTTGAAATTCATTAACTTCTTCCCTGCCTGTCCAGGTCTCACTAAATGTCAACACAGCCTTCTGGTGTATCAGCCATTCCTCCCAGTTTTGTATCATCGGCAAAGCTGTTGAAAGTACAGAAAGCTGTTGAAAGTACACTCTGTCCCCTCAACCAGGTCACTGATGAGTAAGTTGAACAAGACTGGACCTAGTACTAACCCCTGGGGAACACCTCTAGCTACAGGCCTTCAGCTAGATTTTGTGTTTATTACCTATGAGGATGTTATGGGAGAAAGTGTCAAAAGCCTTGCTGAAGTCATGGTAGACAACATCCACTGCTCTCCCCTTATCTACCCAGCCAATCATTCCATCATAGAAGGCTATCAGATTGGTCAAGCATGATTTCCCCTTGGTGAATCCATGCTGACTACTCCTGATAACCTTCTTTTCCTCCACATGCTTAAAGATGACAACCACGGATGGAGGTGAGGCTGGTCAAGCATGGCAGTTTAAGCAAACTGATCTCATGCTCCGAACTGAAACTGGTTTCATGCTCCAACCTCAGTCCAGAGCTTACACTGCTCATCTTACCTGCAGTGAGATTGTTTAGGGAACAAAACCAGCTAATAATTTTCAAGAAAACCCAAAGGAAGAATCTTCACCCAGTTTAATTCCCCAAACTGGCCCATCCAGAAGGTGAGCTGCCTGCAATGCCAATGCAAAGAAGACATTGGGCTGCATAGTTCGCTAAGGCTCAGAACCACTGCAGTCTTGCTGACTCGGGGGGCTTTCTGCTGTGGAAGTGCATCCCACTCTGAAAACACCCAAGCACACACAGCTTTACTCTTGGGCACAGAGATTTCTAAGGGAGTGCTATGTATTTAGCTGTGTCTTTGTTAAAAATACTCCTCAGGGACAAAGTTTTTTCCCTTCAAAAAACCAAACTGCTCTGGCATTAACAGCAATGATGACTTTCATAACACTGAAGTTATTCAGAACTTCTATTCAAAACTAGAAACCCAAAGCTGAGGAAACGTCATGTAACTTGGAATACAAATCTTGCTGACATCAAACAGCAGCCCCTGATGGAACAGCATGGCCTGCTTGAATTATTGCAGCCTTCTTGACTTGGGGTAGTTCAATATACTGGAAAGTGCTTATGGACTGCAAATTTTGCCATGTAGGAATGTTAATGAGGATGTGAATTTGTCTTTTTCAGCTTGGGTAAGCATTTTAGGTGGGAAACCTTTTAGTAGAAGAAAATCACTGTACCCAATCTGAAATCCTATTCAGAATTAAGGAGAATAAATTCCTTTGTATTTTTAAGTAAAAATGCTTTTTTCATCATTAGGAATAAAAAATTAAAGGGAAAACAACTTAAAAATTGGCACCACCACCATTTATACAGGAGATGAAGCCGTTTTTTGTGGTTTATAAACCCTTGCTTTATGCCTGACTTGAAGGTATCTAGACCTGACTGCCTGCAAAAACAGTGCTCCCAGCCAGCCTGATTCATTGCTTTTTCGTCTATTGCTGACAGTGCATTCACACATCACTCACTTTTGCTATAGGCATTATTTAAACTTCAAGGCTTTGCATCTCTCTGGGGTAGATGACCCTACATAATGTAAAAGCATGTGGCTCCAATGGTAACAGAGACAAATATGATGAAGTGCTATGCAAAGAAAGCTAGTTACACATATTTTCATCTGTTGTCTTGAAATTGAGAGGAAGGTTAGTGTCTGCAGTCATTTTAAATGTCAATGTATAGCTCTCTGGCAGGGTTGTCTCCACTCCCAGCTGCTGGGTTCGCTGTTTTTCTGCTTACCTTGTTAAAGCTCCCCAAACTTGGGACCCCTACTTTTTATCTAGACAGGAAGCAAAACAAATCATTTCCCTAGGTAAAATGAACTCAGGTCTCCAGTAAAGGGCCAGAGTGTGAGCTGCTGACAGAGTCCTAGTGATGGAGCCCTGCTAACCAGCCAGCACTGTCAGCCCCATGGTCAGTGCCCCAGAGGCAGTGCAGGCAATGGAGCAGGAAATGTTTTGGCAGCCACAACCTATGTTCACAAAGGTGAACACTACACAGCTTGAACTCCTTCTCAGGCAGGATATGCTGGTGGTTAGAAACACAGCTAAATCTCACAAAACTTCAGCTAGGATGCCAGGCCTCTTGGTACTGCCCATGGACAGGCAGTCTTCTACATCAGAAATTTCAGAGTGTTTTTCTGTCTGTGTTTGCTGATAACATAGGAGCTTAGAGACACTAACTCCCAACCTTGGCACCGCAAAGACCCTCTCAGATATAAAAGTATCATAATCAGGTAAATCCCTATTTCATTCTAAACAGCTGTTTTAAGACATACACTTGTTTTTCCCCTGTCTACAATCTACTCTGAGGAGGCATTTTAGAGCACTGACGACTGACTGCTGCAAGAAGCTCCTGCCAGGTAATCAGCACGACAGTGGGGAATAACATCTGCACTGATACCCGATAATATCCACTTAAAGAAAAACAGTAACTAACTCATTCCAAACTGTTTTAGAACTGTCAAAGCTGATTGGAATTTCTTCACCACAAGATCAAAATTTCTTGCTGCAATTAGCAATCCTCACATGGTAACACGAGGCATAAAAAAACTCCATATCCTGCCGAATCACTCCTGTGGCTGCAAATGTATCACATTTTCCGCTTCAAAATTCACTTCCTAGGTCCCAAAATCTGATCCTTCAAGAGCATTTTGCAACTCATAAAATAGGATGCTGTAGCACAAGGGAATTCCCCAGCTTCCACAGGAGTTAAGAAGCAGTTGGATACATTTAAGAAGTCTGTTCTCACCTCTGCAATCCCGTGTCCAAGCACCTGGCTTCATTTAACCTTTACAGTTGACTTTTCTCTCCTTTATCCATCCCACAAACAGCACAGGTGCTTAGCTGCCCTCTTATCCCCTCAGCTTGCAAACTGACTTAGATTTACTGATGTGGAGAAAAAAGGTTGAACTTTTCATTTGGAAATTAAATAGTGGACTTTCTGATGTAAATCTTAGTGGGTGGCTTAGTCCAGATGGATTGAAACTGTTCTCTTGCTACTTTTTGAACAGTCTGAGCCCAAGAAAAGGCTGTACCTGAATTTTAGCTCAGCTCAAATAACTGGAAGTCACCAGACTATGACGGGTAGTAAGAGCTCTTTGCCAACAACTGATAGTGGGATGAACTAGGAGAAGGGCTGTAAAGGCTTCATCCTCTTCTGAATAGTCATCCCTGTGTCTGGAGCACTGCTGGGAAGCAGGGAACTGTTCACAGGAACAAAGGACTGAAAGAGATCTTCTTGGCCTTTTTGTCCAGAGTTAGAGGGTATTTATTACTCTGTGTATGTTCTATTCTTTCCTCATGTGCCCATTACTAGCACATGGGAGAGAAAGGAGACCATGCTAAATGATACCTTCACTGTGCCTTAAATTCTTTTACTAATCTCTTTCTTTCTTCCACCTTAGTGAAGAATTTGCTATTTGCCACCATGTCTCATGGTTGACTAAAGTTCAGAGAGATGATATCAGCTACATTCCCTTTAATACAAAATCAGTTATCTCACTAAGTTAAAAAAACAACCTAGACTATGTTAAACTAGCTTTTATAAACTTACACTGCGGTTTATCCCACTTTTCGTATTTACCATTGTAGTATTTTGTTACTCATGACTCAGAACCTGCTATAAAGTTCTGCTTTTTTTTTCAAGTTAGACTAATGGGTCTGTAGCTCCCTAGAGCATGTCCCCCTCCCTCCTACACACACTCTCTCTCACTCTCCATTAGTATAGCTATTACGTTTGTTAATCTCCAGTCACCCAGAACACCTCCCTGACTTGACAGATTTATGACTAAGAGTTAAGACTAGACCTGTGATTTCACATATCAGCATGTTTTTCAACCATTCTGAGATGGCAATAATACAGGTCTTCAGCAAAACCAAGAAGTCCTAACTTTCACTGTGGTCCTTTCCACTCCTATGCCACTCTACTTCTGCTCCCATATCCAACATCATCACCTCAGCATCCTCTGTGAAACAAAGTATTCACAATTTCTAGGGTTCACCTACAGGTGTTTAATCATTACTGAGTCCTCACTCATGGAGGCTTACTGCTTCTCAAGACCCTATGCTGCAGCATTTAGTTCTTCCCATCCTAACTGCAAAGCGTTGGTCTTGGGGAACGCTACACATGTATAACCAATAATACTTCCCTAAGCTACCTAGGGGATACATCTGGGAGCAGATCTAACAGTACATTTTACAGCTTCACCACCTAAGGGCATCACAAAAGCAGCAACTTTTAAAAGGAGCTATGAAGAGCAGATTCAAGTGGGATCATAGGAGAGACAGCATTCCTAAACACCTGTGGAAAACGGAATGCTTGAGGAGTGCCTTCACCATTTGATGTGCTCACCATTTATAACAAACGTTTATATGCTCTTGGGTTTTTTTTTTCCCCTCCATATATTAGTTAATGTTTCCATACAAATGGATATTGCCACTAGTGTAGGTTTAACACTTGCCTGCATAGCATGGGAACTGATAGGGAAACTGAATATATGACAAAAAACTGTGATGCCAAAGACTCACCTGACAACAACATCATAGTCATCGATTTTTAACCCCAATGACTTATTTGCAAGTACTCCACCATTTCCCACAATAATACATCGCCGGCAGCTGAGACTGTGGAAGAAACAGAGAAAAGAAGTGATTTTTGTAACATGACTTCAAACATACCAAGCTGCATATATTTAGTTTGCACCTATCTATGAGGAAACCTTTTGCAATATTAAGAATTAAGGGGAGGACAGAGAGACACTTGATCCCCAGCTCACCCCATCATGCCCAGGCATTACACGTGATAAACTGCTTTCAACACCTCACACCACGTGTGGCCTAATGAGATGAGCTGTCAGGACAAGCAGCTCCTCTTCCCCCACACCCCTGTTATGATGGGCTTGAACCAAACCCATCTGTTTACTTAAACCTTCTCATTATTCATTTAGCACTGAAATAACAATAAACCAAAAGCTTAGTAAGGAAGTCCTCTCTCCGAGCAATTTTTTGAGTGCAGGCAGATCTTGCCAGCTTATCTGGGGTGTGCTCACCTTGCTGAGTGCAAAATTGCTGCAGTCATCATGAGACTTCAAGAGACAGAAAAACACTAAATGGATAGAGAAAGGACACCCCACTCCCAGTCCTATCCAGTAGGAAACATATATAGAGACACAATGGGTGACGAAGGGGAAGGAAAATAATCTTAATTAACAAAGAAACAGGAAAGAGAAGGAAGAGAACAGTTTCTTGTGGAACCGCAAGTCATGAGAACTCTCTGCAGCAGATGTTAAAAAGTGATTTTGTTTTGAAGAGAGAGAGAGGACTTCTTTCCAGCCATCTAATCCCAAACGCAGCTGGCTCTTCTGGCAACGTGCCTCCACCTCTGGTAGTTCACTGAAGGAATACGTGTCTGCAGAGCCTTTTTCGGAAAGGGTCCAAGGCAATCAGTTGTTTGGAGCAGAGGCCTTCCTAGTCCCAGGCACAGTCAACTCATCTCTCCTAGGCTGTCATTGCTGTGATCAGTCTAAAGATCAGCGTAAAGAAAGCTCTACTTATGTGGGGTCTGTCTTTGCAGAGTGGGGCTGGAGCACACGTAAAGACTCTGCTAAACCACTGAAGGTTATCCTGCTGACAGAGCCATTAGCTGGAGATATGTGCAGAATTAAGAGCAGCAAGAAACGCTCAGGAACAGCTTCCCCAGACCAGATAAAGTTTCACTGCAGTTCCCAGCCTTTCCAGAAGAAAAAACCTCCTTAACAAGATGGACATGCTAACACAGTGTTCGTATCCCTAAGGGCTGAAGAAGTGTGGGTGTTTGTGATAATAAAATCACAATAGAGAAAGAACTTTACAGAAAATGGCACAGAAGAAAAAAGCACAACACTGTTCTAGCATCAAGGAGAAAGCAGAGACAAGTTCTGGTTCAAGCAGAATGTTGTGTCAAGAAGGAAGGAAAAGAGTCAGCCGCAAGTACACCCAATTGAGTGACAAAGATGTAAACACCTTTGTCAAAACCTTTTAGGAAAAGATTCTGCAGAAGGGGAAAAAAGACAGTTCGGTTCTGGCCAAGTGAAATTTCATATGAAACACTTGTTTGATGATTACAATAAGAAAGTTTGACCTCATAAACAATAGACTGTTCGGTGAAATACTATAATTTCTCTACCCAGTTGTCTCTAGGCCATGACTTTTCTTAATTTTACATTTTGAAGAATACTACCATGCTGAAACCCAAAGGCTGCAAGCTGTAGACACTCCCTTCTACTTTCCCACTTACTGTTAGGATGCTAGCTCTAACCAACTTTGAATACAGATGTGTTTGTTTCCGCCTCAAACCACTTAATCGCATTCTTCCCTTTTCTGCTAAATTAAAGCACCATCTACTGTTAGTAGTCCCTTCCACATCTGCATGTGATCCACTTACTGACAAACCAGTGTCTAAACATCTGCCTCTAGGTGGATAATCAGTCAGTGGGCAGACTGGTGAGCATGAGCCGCTACACACAAGATAGAAGAACCAGTTCGACCAGCCAAAGCTGTTCCAGTAGCCACTTGCTATGGCCCAGTTCCTGCATGTATTGACTAAAGACCATTCCTAATTTTCTCTTGACCACACAAACCAGAGCGAGCTCATCACATCTCTTAGGATATGGCAGCTCTCCTAGATCTTGACTCACATTTGCAGCACATCTCTGAACCATTTTCAACTTCTCCCCAGATCTCCAAAGCAGTGACTCTAGAAGACCAGCATGCAGAGCTAAGGCTGCTCAAAGCACAGTTCCTTTTACATAGAAATTTTATGTACATCATTCCAGTGCTCTTTTTATAGTCACTGGTTTGCAGAATATAATCCTCATCTTGTAAGCATGATCTGCACTGTCACCTCTGAGATGCCTGACTTTTGACTTTGCTCCAAAGGACTGTTCAGAGAACAGCCCTACAAAACAGTTTAGTCTGACCTGGCCCTCCTATCCCTTACTTCCCCAGTCTCTGGCTCTGGCAAATTTTCCTAGTGTAATTTTACATTTCCTCCAGATTGGTTTTAACCACTGCGAACACCTGCCAGCATGATTACACTAGAAGTGTCACTAAGGGATTAATTCTCAACCCTGACAGCAGCTTCTTAAAGCTTTATGACATATCCTGCTCTTAAAAAGGATATGCCTGCAACGGTGTTGTGCAGAATCAGAATATAACGAACGAAAAAAATAACTAATATCTATCTTTAAAAGGTTACCTTTACCAATCAAGCTTCTAGTTCATCTAAAAGCTCATCCTTTACATTACAGGATTTCATTTCCACAAACCCCAAGATAACTCGCATCAATTATGCTGCCATCCTGGCTCTGTCTCAGATCTAACTTTTCCAGGATTTTTCCTGCAAAACTTATAGCCACCTCTTTGTCATCTCCCATATTTCTCCAGAAATGGCACAACATTTGCTATTGTATCCAACATTGCAAGAAAAGTTAAAAAACAAACAGTAATAACAAAAAAAATTATTTAACTCCTTAAATAACTCCTCAGCGCTTAGTAATTTAAAAAAGACATGGAATTGTCATTTAACATCCTCACAGTTACTAATAAAGATACATAAAGTATTTAATTGTTGCTATAAAATGGGACATCTCTCTGTGTTTACTGAAAAAAACGATACTTAACTGAATAGTTCTGCCTTTACTCAGTGTAACTGATAGGTTAATCACCTTTGCCCACCTACATCTCTGAATCACGCACAGAATCATAGAATGGTCTGTTTTGGAAGGGATTTTAAAGATCATCTAGTTCCAATCCCCTGCCATGGGCAGGAACACCTCTCACTAGACCAGGTTGCTCAAAGCCCCATCCAGCCTGGCCTTGAACACTGCCAGGGATGGGGCATCCACAACTTCTCTGGGCAACTTGTTCTAGTGTCTCAGTCTTATACCCTCATAGTGTTGATGTATTTGAACATGTCCTCCTTTTTAAGTCTGCAGATAAAATTTTTCATTAGTATCTTTTTGACACTGAGGTCTAATCTTTGATCTTCTAGCAGCTTTTTCCTAAATTTCTTTCAAAAGTACTCTGCCCACTCTCATCACAAAGCTGTCAGTTTCTGCTGCATACTCAGAAGGTAGCACTCATGCACAGATTGCTTTCTTCAGGTGTGTGATTAAGAGTGAGTCTTGGACTTTGCCTGGCTTCTGCACATCAGGTGTGTACATCAAGTCTGGGCAGCCGGGACTGTTTTGATCAAGACTGGCAGAAAGGTGAGATGGTCTGGTCTCACCAGCTCTGGCAATCACGCTGCGGGTCAGTGAGGAGATTGCAGGGCCACCCTGGTGGCACTGTGAAAGGGAAGCATTCGGCAGGGACATCAGGCACCCAACCTCACATCCTGGCCAGAAGTTTGGAGGCTTGGCACCAGTGTAGCTGAGCTCCTTCCCAGCCAGCACTGGCTGATGGTGCCTGAGCATGGGAAACCTGCAAAGTCACTGCTGGCTCCAGGCAAGTTTCTGGCTGAAGAAACACGCTGTGCAAGCAGCATCAGTTACAGCTCAATTGTTTCACCACAAAGAAGTGTGCAAACACCTTTTTGTTTGTTTATGTAGTATGCCAAAGCTGTATTTCTTTTCCAGAAGAATTCAAGGACTGAACACACTGGACACAGCCCAGGTTCCAGTTTGCTACCAGGGTGGTATGAAGGAGGGTCATGGACTCCTACAGCAGACAGACTTTCCCTAAAGCCCTACACTGGAAGTCGTAACCAGATGTACAGCCTCTCAACACAGATGCTCAGAGGCTGAGTTCAACTACACCAAAACCAGGATTCACACAGTTCTTGAACAATATAGCACTGTAAATACATGTATGCATTATAGCAACTGCTACTTCCTCTCTCTCTCTTATCAAAGCACTTCAGGGATTTGTCAGGGGAGGAAAACCACAAAGTCTTTCTTTACACACCTTTGGAACTAAAGGCTTTGAGGAAAGACAGAATAATTAAAAAATACATTTTTTGGTAATTGGTGCTTAGGTAGGCTTGGCATATTCTGGTTTGATCTGGCTGCTGTTACTTAAACTGGTGCTATCAACCTGAGCCAGAAGGACGCACACACATCTCCTCTCCTGCTCTATTAAATTCCTTCCTCACCTGTTAGTTTACATATTGCATTAGTAAAGACTCTGTTACTTATAAGCTCAAACTCTCAGTTTTCCATCATTGCCAAGAGGCAATACAAAATGGTACATCAGGGTTTTATATTTCTGTGTTTTCATTGGAAATTTACAGATTATCACTTCAGACATTCAACCCAAAAATCACTGCAGACATTTAACTCAAAAATCCAGCCAGCAGAAAAGCCATGGAACTAGAAACCAAGCCCTGATTGATCGCAGAATGAGAAGCAGGCCACTGGAGGAACCACCAAAGCAAGCAGTGAAAATGTCAGTGATATATATGGGCTTGGAAATATCAACGGAGGGCAAAAGAACTCTTGACATGTCAAAGAAGAGGCCCACCAACATCTGTGTTAGGGAGAAAGACATGCCAGCTCTGAAGATTCAAAGAGAACACTGTTTCCACAGCAAGTCCCCTGGATTCCCAATCTTTTCCAGAAAAGCTCAGAGCTGAGTTGCAACTACCCTCACAAATACAACTGCAGCTTCAACTATCTCCTGCCCTGGAGAAGGAGCAGGTTATTATAAGCAGTTCAAGACAAAGGGGCCATAGTAAGGAGTCACAAAGAAAACTAAGGAAGCATGACATCACTTACACCATGCTACAGGCATGAACTATAGCATTTGTTCACATGCCATCCAGCTGCTGCTAGTTATTAACACAACACTACTCACAATGGAGGGATTAGTTGGAGTAAGTTGGCAAAGCTGTTTTGGGATGATGAAAGGTGTACGCATACCTGGCAGGATTGTGTTAGCCTCATTTCAGCACCATGTCGGTACATTGTGTCAGGGAAGTTGCATCAAGATGCCCTTCTGACACAGGGATAATCAAACAAAGAAGTTCATTTCCAGGGCTTATGAGAAGCAAGTGAAGGTAACATCTCAAGGGACAGCTTTGTGAAGGAAAACAGAAATGGAGAAGGTTGGGTGGGGACAAGACCAAAGGGTTGCTGTAGATCATCCACCATACAACTCTAATCCCCTTTTTCCTTCCTGTCCTCTCAAGCACTGCTCTGACCTCACCTCTCCTGCCTCTCCCACCCTTCTCGGGGGAAAGCTGCATTCAGTATATGGTTACATGAACACTTGTTTCAGTGGCCTCAGCAGCACTCACCCTCCCCACCCATCCCCATCTCTCTGCCTCTCGTGCTGCGGTCACATCGCTGTGCCAATGCAACTCTTCAGTGGGAGGAGAGCTCTGTAAATGAGGTCATTGGAATGACCTGGATTAAGAAAAAAACTTTTGAACTGGAGTTGTTTCAGTGACCCACTTAAAAGTTCCTCTTCAAACAATAGCAGCAGCACAAGATGGTAGTGAGCTACAGTCTGATAGCAGCAGCAAATACAGCTTCTTAGACTGGCTTTGTCACAGAGAAAATATTGGTGTAACTGTTCTGAAGAGAAGCTGAACCTGGAGCCTCTTCCCTACTGCTAGAATTAGCCCATTAGACTTCTGAGACCCTGCAAGTGGAAGGGTTCACAAGATCTCCTAAATCTGACCCCTTGTACCTCTTAAGACTTTAGCTGTGTCTCTTACCTAACTCAACAATACGGCATTTTTTCAGCCCTTAATCATAGAATAGTTTGGGTTGGAAGAGACTTTTAAGGTCGCTTAAGTCAGGCCCTCTCCAGTTGCCCCAAGGTGGTGAGCAAAGGGAAAGGTCTGAACATTCCCCTTGATCAATGAGCAGTAAGGGAGTGAGCCAAACCTCAAGGCCCTGCTCCCAGTACACTGATGCTGCCATAGACAGTAAATGCCTGGCTCCGCTTTGAGCTTGAGATGAGAAAGCAGCTAACCCTCCCTCATCAGCATGCTCTATCAGCTCTTCTGGAATGCAAAATGGCAGATACCCATTGCTGCCAGCACTGTAATTCATTGACAATCACAGCTGGGAGAATACCCAAGTCTTCAGCTATGCCCTACTCACTAAGCAGGTTTCCAAGAGCAGCTCTGTTGTAACCTTAACACCTCCTGCAGTACCCAAGCTCTCTTGTAATAGCCCCACTGTTGCAACTCCCTCCACCAACCGCTTTATGCTCTCACTTTGTGACTTACTATCCCAAGTCTTTCTTGTCCCTTTCTCCCATGTGAGCTTCAATTTTTATCTTTCCATAAGACCTGCTCAGTTGGAAGGGCTCTCGGAAGTATCTGACTGTGAGACACGTGTACTACACAAGCAACATCCACTGCTTTGCATTTATCACAAAAATTACCAAGAAAACAGTACTCCACCAAGATATGTGTGCGTTTACACAGCACTAAACCTTGTTACTGCAATGGAGGAACAAATTTCATGTCTGTTGCTTAGATAATGTTCATACTTGATATCTAGGGGACTTTGATATGTTTCATGAAGACTTAAGTGCTCCTATCTCTGCAACAAACCCATTATAAAGAATGTAAAACTGAAGTGAATAGCTCATGCTAGAGTAGCTGTGTTTCACAACCTCCTGAGAAATTACTTTTAAACCCCCCAAAACATTCCACTCCTCAAAAAGCAGGTGAGCTGTATGGGTCACAATTACATTAACCTTCCCTGCAATAATCTTCCACCTGCCCTCTGTCATTAACACTAATTTCCCATGAGCAACCTTCTGAATGAGTCTATATGTGGATTTTTCAACAGATTAAAATCTTAACTCTCCAACGAAAGCCGCAATAAACCCCAGATGGGTGAGACTCAGTTGTGCGCAAAATGTCTAAGAAGGTAATTTGTAAAATGATTTTGCCTTCTGGACATCATTTCTCAAATTAATGCAAGCTCTGAAGGCTAACCCTATCTGGCATTGCTGTGAGGCAAGGCAAACTTCAAAGCAACCTAAATTAGCACACAGACTGCAAAAAACTATTAATAAACTTTCACATGGAGAGTAACTCCCAACTCTAACTACAGCGGGTAAGCTCTACAATCAACATGAGAGATGCAGAGACCTATGGAATATGGAAAGTCTGGAAAAGCTTATTAATTTTGTCATAGAAAAATGAGCAGAGAGGGAGCTGGGGCATGAAATGAAACCAATGTGTTTAGACAGCAGGAACTGTGTTGTTAACCCGGGTTCAGGGAAGTACAACTGCTTGGAAAGAAATAGTGGCAGGACTTTGGAAACAGATCATGATCCAGTAAAAACCTTTGACAGCATCTGAAAGAAACTACCTCTAATCCAGGAAGTGGCCCTAAACCAAAACTGCAGGGCAAAGGGAAGGGATGACAGAAAAGCAAGGACAGGAAAGACCAAAGGACTATCATTGGGAAGTTGATTGTAAACATGCCAGTGAGTTTCAAAAGTGACGTCTACAATAGAACTGAAGAATCAAAGGAGTCTCTTCTAAAGATGTCAATTCAAATACCATAGGACTCAGAAGACTGCTGTTGCATCCTGGCACAGGCTTTGCTGCTTTAAGAGCAAGGTATTAGTGAAGAATATTGTTAAAACAAGCCAGTCCCTTCTTTCCCTCTAAGAGTTTCTTGTAATCCTATTGCTTTGTCAGAAAGGCTGAAAGAGAATATTGTGTTTATTGAAACCTGCTATTTATTTATTTGTAAAAGGGTCAAGAGGGTGTATTGTAACACCATATGAAACAAAAGATTAAGAAATAATCAAAAGGAAAAGGTAAATGCTTTTTCCTACTCGTGTGACTTAACAGAGGTCTCTAGAGTTTACAGATTTACTGGAAAGAAGACTCAGTTTCCAGCTCCTGGTCTACCTCCAAAGCACAGCCAAATTTATTGGCAATAATTTCTGGCAAAAATATCTAGCAAAAATTATTTAGGACATGTGGAAAATAATCACTTTTCCTCCTGCGCTAAAAGGTCTCATCTTACCTGTCAAGAGCTGGAGTTAGGCGGTAATCTTTGGTTGCTGACAGGATGGCTTTGATCAGATTATCTGGGGAGAAAGGAAGGAGACATTAGGAACAAGTTCTTACTTTTAATGGAAATGAAAACTAAAGTGATGTAAAGCATCTGAAGCTGCAACTTGAAGGAACTGAAATAAGGTCCACATTAGGAATGCACACTTCAACTTTCATATTCCTATTTTCTCTGACCTTCACACACTGCAAAGACACGTTATGTGCCGAATTCTGATGCAGTGAGCAAATACCTTGCACAAAAAGTGTGACAGGAAAAAAACACAGTACACTTTAAGGCAGTGATTTAATACACACTTCCATGAGACTGCATTTTCACAAACACTTCAGACATGAAAAAAAACCAGTATCACTGTCAATGGTTGCTTTCAGACAGTATATTTAAGCTTTTATGCCACTGAGTGGTGAACTGGATGCAGGAACAGAACCAGATTAAAACTGATGCTTTTTATCTTCCTGGGTTACTTTTAGTTTAGGTTCAGTTCCTCAGTCTGGCTGAGGATTCATGGCAGAATCCAATTAAACCATCATAACTGCTTAAAGAAACGCCCATCGAACCACAGCTACTCTGATACCCAGTGAACACTGCAGCAGCCAGATGGTATCAATTATGCAAGCACAGACACACACACAAATTAAATGTATTAAATTGTAGAAGCACAATGATAAGACATAAATAATTCTATTGACTGGAAATTTTTGAGTCTGCTTCCTTTTAGATATTGTCCTTTGTCCCTGATTTTTCCACCTCCCTCTCCCATAGAGATCCAAACTCCTTTACAACCAGGGCCAAGAAGCAGCAATGCTTTGCCTAGTCTGGATATACAAAAGCACCAATAACTTCAGAATGGCTGTACTTGGTCTGACAAAAAGTCCATCTGTCTCCAAATCCTGACTCTAATTGTGGTCTTAAGCAGATTTCTAAAAGTAGCATAAGAATAAAACAAAAAACCATAATATTTCCCTGAAATTACCTTTTACTAGTAAATTATTTTCAAATCAGGGATTTAATGTGTCAGGTATAGCTTCTATGTATCTGGCAACCCTTAGTGACTTCTGTTTCATGAGCTTGGAACCCTCCTGGATCTGTATGGGCTTTCAATCACTTTCAATTCCTGATTTTGAATATGGCTTCTCTGAGCTTCATTTATACTGCAAAAGATTGTGAACAATTAGTCCCTTTCCATTTTCCTTGGGAGACTGTTGTAAATATCTATGATATCCTTCCCTTAAATATACTGGTCAACTAGTTATAAAGTTGCTAGAAAATAACCAGTCAAAAGGAATAAATAAGTCTTGTTTCTTTACAAAAGATTAAAAATTACACAGGACTATTATGAAGACAGACATCAAGTGATTGTTTACAGTGAACTTAAATAGTTTTCCTGATAGACACTACTTACTGCAATGAGCACAGTTTGGAGAGTCCCTTTCAAACAGAGTTCTGTTCTTTTTTTTTATGTCCCTCTGCAGAAAGTACAGGACAAGGGTGTGGGATGAACACACGAGCTCAAGGCAGCCCGTGTGCCAGTCAGCTCTGAACTTAATAACAAGCTGGTGATATGCACAAGGCAGATAAATAAAGGTGGCAAACAGAAAACTCTGATGGTTACTTTGAGATTTGCAGAAGTTTTTGAAAGGGCATTATTGACAGCTCCTTCCAACCACAACGAGCTGGGAAACGTGCTTACTTTCAGATCATATTTTGGAGAAGAGTAAAGATAGAGGCAATCTGTAGGGTAAAAGCAACTTACTTTGCTAACAAAATAGTGGTTTTGTTTAATTTTCCTTCATCTGAAGAATTTCTTTTGACTCACTGGCAGCAGGTTCCCTCTCC